GTCACAGCACTGCAGGCAGGGGTACCCCACCACTGTGTGGCTCTCACCTTCACTGTTTTCCAGGATGTTGGGGGCAAAGCCTCCCTCATCACCCACATTGGTAGCATCCTTTCCGTATTTCTCCTTGATGACACTCTTGAGGTTGTGATAGACTTCAGCCCCAATGCGCATGGCATCACGGAAACTTTCAGCTCCCACAGGCAGGATCATGAACTCCTGCATGGCCAACTTGTTGCCTGCATGGGAGCCTCCGTTGATCACATTGAAAGCCTGGAAGAGCCCAGAAGAGAATCAGAGCTGAAGCAACCCATCTTTGTACTGCCTGGACAAGGCTCTCAGATGGGTAACTATGTCCATTCATAGCATACCATATCCCCCAGAATAACACAACACATCAGCTGCAGAGCATCAGACCAAAGCCACATACAGCCCAGGATCCTCCTTCTAACAGTGGCTCAAAGCAAACGACCAGAGAGGACTTTCCCACCAGTTTCCCTCCAGGAGCTCTCCCAAGCTGTATGTGTCTGTCTGTGCATTTGGCAATGCTACATCAGTCTCTCTTTCTCCTTGAGCCCAACAAAAAAATTAGCATCTATAATACCCTTTGTGAAGGAGCTTCAGAGGGCAGCTACCCTTTTCTTGAACTGTGCCCCAGAGGGTTCACATGATGCCCCTCTGGTTCTTGTGCTAACAGGGAGTGGTTGATCCTCAATCAACCTCCACCACAATGTCTGTGTCCTCCTCAGCCCCTCTTTCCATATTGAAACCTCCTAGTTTACATAGTCCTTCCCTTTACGAAAGCTGGTCCACATCTTTGATTTCTCTCTTATCCTCTCCTGAGCCTTTTCCAGTTCCCCTTTCCTCTTGTGGTGATGGGCAGGGCAGAACCTTATGCACCACTCCAGGAACAGGCATTTTGTTCTTGAGTCCTTCCCTGACAAATCTCAGGCTTTAGCTTGCTTTCCTGACAATGCATTCAGCTGATGTTTCAGTCCTGTATCCCTTCCTCCTCTACCTCCCAACACATTCTTAGAAGTTTCTTTAGAAGTTTCTGAATGGGGATGCCAAGGACAGAGTCTTACTGGCACAGGAAGGATGAGATCAGAGTTGCCAGCCAGGTCAGCAATATGCCGATACAGGGGGACATCCTTCTCTGCAGCTCCTGCCTTGCACACAGCCAGCGAAACTCCCAGGATAGCATTGGCACCAAACTTGGCTGTGGGCAAAAATTAGGAGTTAAGCTTCTCTAGTGCCTCCCTCCTGCCCCACAGGTCCCTTTGCCAGGCCAGCCTTGGTCTTGCCCACTCCAACCCTCCCTCCGCCCGCCTATGCTCTTTGATTCCCAGACCAAAACAAATAAAAAAATTACATTTGTTCTCTGTGCCATCCATCTCAAGCATCAGATTGTCAATCTTCTCTTGATCTACAACGGAGAGGCCCTGCAAGAAAGAAGGAGCTCCTGAGAAGGGGAGGTTGGGAAGAGTTGTTGACTCTCCTCTGCGAGGAAGGAGATGTTGATGCAGAAGCTGGGGGGACATGGACATTTTTTTTTTTTGGCTTGTGGGGGAATATATACACACAAAGCTCTGGATATCAGTGCCTTGGCATGTAGTCGGATTAGGTAACCAGGATGATGTTACTGCAGTGCGCCGTAGGTGCACCTGCATTGGATGAAGGATCGGCAGCAGCCCAGGCGAGGCCACACAGAGCTCAGCACTCAGGACTCACTTGAGGATTTACCCAGCCTTTTGGCAGCTTCCAGGGAGCTTTGTGGTGCTATGGCTACACAGAAGCTTGGCAAAACAGTACATGCTCAACCCCAAGCAAGCGAATGTAAACTGGAGGGAGCCGTGCCCGGGAAGGGGGTGGAGAGCGGGGTGAGGCCCGACATGGGGAGCCCTCCACCAGGCCACACATTTCTCAGGGCTGAGGGGAGCTGGGCTCTCAGCCAGACCCCTCGCAGGCTGCACGGGGTGCGATGTGTGGCATTAGCTCAGCTCTCTTCAGAGCAGGCTGCAGGTCTTTGCTCGTGAAGGGCTTACGGATGTGACACCACCCAGCGCCCTGCAGGGCCGCAGGCCGTGCAGGGGGTGCTGCCAGATCTCGCAGAGGTATGGCCATCGCCCACCACACCGTGAGTGCTGCAGGAGAAGAAGGTGGGACAGAAAGGGTGTGAGGCTGCAGACGTGTGGGTGGTAGTAGGTGCTTGAGGAGGAGCACATCTGGAAGAGGGAGAGAGCTCTACGGGGAGCGCCAAGGGCGTTAGTTAGGTAGTTAGGCCGTACAGATGCTGCAGTGGACCAGGTAGGGTTAAATCCTTTCTGCTCAGAGAAAAGATCCCTGCGGACACATACAAGCATGGAGGGCAGGAGGGGTGTGCCCGGGTTCACAGAGAGCATCGCTGTGTCTGTCAACCCAGTGAGATGAAGAGAGGCAGAAACAGAGATCAGGTGGAAAGAGACGGAACAGAGTAAGCGTTCAACAAGGGAGAACAAAGAGAAATCCTTACAGAGCCCACGAGAGCTGGGGCGACAGTGCTGTTGATATGATCCACGGCCTGCAGGACCCCTAAAGAAAGGAATAGACAGAGAAAGAAAGAGAGAGAGAGAGGGTGAGGCAAAGAAGAGAATGGAGAGAGGGAGGGAGAGGACCAGTAGAGAGTCTGAGAGAGGGAGACAGCGAGGGGAAGATCGAGGCCTGATCTTTCAGTGACACTAAGCCTGTGCTCCAAGGTCCCACGGAGGGCACATTACGTTAGCGGATGAGCAGTACCCTCTGGTGGAGCCCCACGAGCAGGCAGCCCCGGACACAGGGTGCAGAGCAGGCACCTCCCCACCTTTTCCAAGGAAACGGGACTTGTCGTTGTCTCGGAGCTCCAGTGCTTCGTAGATACCAGTGGAGGCACCGCTGGGGACCGCTGCTCGAAACATGCCTGAGGGAGGGCAAAACATGTGCGTGAGCAGAGCAGAGGATGAGGAGAGAAAGCTCTCATGTGTTCTGCTTCTGGCAAAAAGACACAGCAACCATGTATGCCAACAGCCTCACTGGCTGCATATGGCTGGTCTTGTCAGAGGTGGAACACCAACATAACAGAAAGAAATCCACCCCGAGTTTCCAGACTGGGAAACCTGGATCTCAGCCACTAAGCGGTCTGCGCTGTTCCCAGAACTACAAATAACATGCAGAAATCTGGCTTTTCAGCCCTCGTCCTGGTACCCCTACCTGCCCCCTTCCGGAGGCAGATTGACACACAGCTGCCAGACTGGGGCTGGATTTTTACCTCAGTGAAGAAAGAAGAGACTAGTTGGATGCCACACGGCCTCCTCACACCTCTCAGCCCACCTTAGCTTTTGGCCCAGGGCAGTTGCAGCTCTTCCATTTGAGACACATATATGCCTGCACAGAGATCTCAGGGACAAACCTTGCCACAACTCCATGAGCGTGGCCATGGATGTACTTCCAAACTTGTGATGTGTCCCAGGAGCAAAAGCACAGCTGCAGGAGGGCATTGCGTGGATAGAACATTAATATATATATAATTATGTCTATGCTAATGAAACTAACCACCCCTGCTACTATCAGACACCTGAGCCAAGCCATCCGCATGGCACTCAGCTGCACGTGTCTCACAGGGTCACAAGCAGGCACCAGATTTGCCTCTTTCCTGGGAGCTCACTGATCCCACCTACTCTTGGCCAAGGCTGCTGTGCAGACCCAGCCCCTCTGGCATGGGCAGGACTTACCTGCACCTCTCGTCCTCACCCACGTACCTTTGTGTGTGTACAAGTCCACCTCAACAGTGGGGTTCCCACGGGAATCCAGGATCTCTCGGGCATGGATCCTCTCGACCGCCATGGTGACTCTGTGAGCAGGAGAGAAGACATGCTGAGCTCTGAGAGGCCTCAGACTGCACTCAGGACCTGGTGCTCATCCTCCTAATGTCTGGGCAACAAGAAGGATGCTCAGGGAAGAGCTCTCTTAGGGGCTGGAGCTCAAACTCTAAGCAAGTTTAGACTGTAGGGGAGATGTGAAAAACGTAGTCCAGAGCCCAGAATATGGGAAACCGCCCATATTTCATCCAGGAGCTGATGCTCCGTTTCAGTCCACCCAGACAGCAAACAGGGAGCACCCCACTCCTGCCCTGTGCAGCAGATATGTGCCCCCCTTCCCAGGGCTTATGGTGGGAGTAAGGACAGCAGGCACAAAACACCGGGCCGGGCAGCAGAGAGGGAGGGCTGAGCTGGCACAGCCCCAGCCTGGTGCCGGGGCTCCCAGCACCTCACTTTTCCCCATGGGGGGTGAGGAGCATCCCCAGTGGGCCCAGGGGAGCCCTTGCTGTGCCTCTGCCTCTCCTCACCCCTCCGCAGAGCAAGGGGAGCTGCCCCAGGAACGCGCCATCCCCCGGCGGCCTGGGCAGCCATTTTGCATGCTGACACAGAGGAGGAACAGCTCTGAGGGCAGAGGGAGGGAAACATGGCTGGCTCAGGTGCTGGGGCTGCCCAAAGCTCATGGCCCCACCGTGCCTGACAGCATGAAGGAGGTGTCTCCGCCTGACAAGGGTGGGGGGGGTGAGGTACTCTGACATTTTGGATGCACTCGTTGAAACCCGAGGAGAACAACATGCTCGTGGGTGAGGATGGCCGCTTGGGAGAGCCTCTTTTGCTGGAATTTGCCCTCTAGGGTCTCCAGAATAGCTCTGTCCACCCCAACCCACCTTCCTGTTCCCCCAGACAGGCCTTGCACGTCTCCCCACGTCCCCCAGCTAGCTGCAGGGCTGTGCAATGTCAGGGAGCAGGATCCTGCCAAATGTCTGCCACTGCTACCCGCTGCCTTCGCTAGGTTTTCTCCCCCTGGCACCCCCAGACGATTCATTTAAAACCAAGTGGAGCTGGAACTCTGTGATCTCGGTGCAGGGGGGGCAAGCCTGGGCAGCAGGTGTTTTTTTGTTTGTTTGTTTTTTGTTTTTTTATCTCAGCCAGAATCACGCCTCGGTCTGTGTGTGTGGGGTACGGCCAGCACGGGAGCTTAGCCCATGCACATGTGTTGGGGCTGCTGCAAAAGGGCATCGTGGCAGGGAGAGGGGCTAAGAAACAGGCTGGGGAAGGCAGGGGCAGCTCCTGATCCCCTTGCCTCCGGTGCATGGAAATCAGAGGGCTGTGAGGAAATCACCCTGCTTTGAAGTTTCACCCAAAGCTTGCAGTGCTGGGGAGTTTCGGTGGGGGAAACCAGGACTCTCTGAAGCCTGCGCGGGGGCCCTTCACGGTGTCCATCTGGGCTGGGATCCCCTCAGCCGTGCTGGCAGCGCTCCTCACGCCATCTGGCACGCACCGCAGGAGCTTCCTCCGGAGCCGTGCCTGCGCAGCTGCGAGCTTCCTTCACAGCAGTGCCCTGGCTGTGCCCCAGCAGCCTCCGCAGGGGAGGGAGGACCAGCACCCTGTTAAAGTGAGTTTTGGCACAGCGGGGGCCTGATGACAAGACCTGTGTCAGATGCTGTGCCCCTGTTTATGTGATGATGTTTCCCCTGTCACATCCCTCTGCCTGCATCCCCCTGCTCTATTTTGGGGCAGCTCCAAGGAAGCTAAATGACAACCTTGCTAGCCCCACTCCATCACTCGCTGCATCTCTTCTTCCCCCTCCATTCTCTATACCCTTTTCTCCACTTCTGCTGCCTCCCCTTGTCCCCCCTGCTGTTTGCCCTCTGTGGAACAGTGCAAAGAGCCACCCGAAAATCCCTGGCATCAGCTGCACAGCCCTGAAAGGAGGTCAGAGGCGGATAAGCTGGGATAAGGGATTGGTACAGAGCCATAGTTGGGAACCCGTTGACACAGTGAGGAGGAGAGGGCAGCCTCCCTCGAGCAGAGGGCACCCTGGCATTGCACTGCTGCATCGTGGGCGCTGCTTTGTGGAAGCAGCTTCGTGGAAGCCCCCTTCCCTGCCGAGCGGGCCAGCATTGCACCTCTGCCCCAAGCCACCAGCAGCACCAGCCCTGCCTGCTGGGGCCCCTGGTGCTGCTGCTGCGGTTCCCCCGGGCTGGGCACTGCTGCCAGGAAGCCCGCACTGCTGCAGTGTCGTGGCTGATGCAGCTCCCTCCTGCTCGCCTGTCACCTCCTCTCCCTGCTGCCCCCCCTCCCTCCGTGCGGTGTGGGGTTGGGATGAGAGGAAAGCGTTTCCCCTCCTCCCTCCTTCTCCCAGGAAGACCAAGGGCTGTGCTCTTGTGTTTGTGTCAGCACCTCGGGAGGCTGGGGGGCGGTCTGCTCTCAGCCGGGGTCCTTTCCCCCAGCGGTACCCAAACTGAGCTTTGCCTCTCCCCACTGCCAGCCCCTTCCCTCCCGGGGAAAGCTCCATCCCACAACATCTCCCTGCGGTGCCCTTGGGAGCACCACCTGTGTTTGCTGGTTGTGGTGTGTCCCCCCCAACCCCCTTTCCCCTCGAATTTGCCCAGATTCACATCTGAAACGATCCTGAAACGATAGGGAAGGAGGGAGCACCTGAAATTAAAATACGAGAGCCAAGTGAGAAGGGTGGGGGTGAGGAGAAATCGGGGGGAGGAGCAGGGAGGAGGAAGCGAGGGGAGTTTTGCTCAGCCGTGGTCCTCCCCTGCAGGGACCCGGGTCCCTGTAGGGTTTGGGGGGCACGGGGTGCATGCAGCTGGCCACGGGGAGACACTTACCTCCCGAGGGCGGGGGTGAACGAGAAACTGAGACGGTGCTGGCAGGGAGGATGGAGCCGAGGAGGGCTGCGGGACCTCAAGGGGAGATGCTGTGTCCTCTGAGCCAACAGCGGCGGCAGCAGCAGGATGGAGCCGCCCCTAATAGGGCCGGGACGGCAGCATGTGACCCGGAGCTGCGATGAGTCAGGATTCGGCACAGCTTTGCAAACAGCACGTAGGGGATGGAGAGGGAAAGGGAGGGAGGCAGGCAGGGCGCAGACAGAGACAGACGAGGGTGAGGGAGCCGGGGAAGAGGAGTGGGTGGGCAGGATAAACAGTTCCAGGCGCTCCGGTCTCATTAATTATTTTTATTCAAATCAGGAGATCTTGTAGGATTTTTGGAGCCATAAATGAAAACAGACAACTTGTAACTCTCCCCTTTTCCCTCTTGGGCCCGCTTAGCATATATGCATGCAGTGACTGCAAAAACACTGCAGTAACTCAGGGCAGCGCCCAGGACCAGGGCGGGTAACCCTGCTCCCTTCGCCAGGGGCAAAACGAGGTGAAGGTAGCGCTGACACCTGCAGCTCTTGCTTTGCCAGCCACACACATGGGGGAAGGCATCTCCAAATCTTCACAGGAGATGGGTATTAAAACCTGGGGTCACTCGGTCATATCACCCTGGAGAGATCCCTCTGTTTCCTGAAGAAGGAACAGAGATGTTAAATGCCTGACTTATTTTTCCCTTTCACCTCTCCCTTGGTGCTATTGGGGCCAGGAATGCCAAGCAGGTTGTGAAGCCCACTCTGTTGCAGGCTCCTCTGCCCTTGGGATTGACCTCCCTCAGCCCTTTCATCACGTAATCTAGAGGAGTGGCTTATCAGCATGTCTGATCCTCTGTCTTTATACACTTCTTACTCCCCACCCCCTGCCCTGTGCTGTTCTTACCTTCTCCTCTTCCTGCCTTTTCTGGCGGATTTCGTTTGCCTCTGCACGCTCATCTTGCTCGAACGATTCCTTGTCGAGGCGTTCCAGGCGCGGCAGCAGGACCAGGACCTCCAGCCGGTAATTGGGTTCGTCGGAGCATGGATTGTCCAACAGCACCAGCGCCTTCAGCATGGGGAGCACCTGCAGTTTTGCCACTTCCTCGAAGGCGCTGATCCCATTGTTCCTGAAGAAAAGGGAGCACAGTGTGCGGTAGAGATATATGTAAGTAGAAAGGTCTCTTCAGAGCAGTAAGCTGACAAGACAAAGCAAAACTTAGCAGCGTGATACTCTGATCTAAAATCTAGATCTGTCTGAAGCTCCCCAAAGCAGGGGACAAATCCAACATCTCCCCTGGATTTCTCTGTGCTCAAACAGAATTGTCTGATATCCCCATTTCCCTTTATAGCAAATGCCTGGAAGTAAAGGGCACTTGTGCTCAGGGCCAGTACACGAAGGAAAAGTATGATGTGGGATCAGAGAATGACTGGAGAGGTAGAGCTTTTCTGCGAAGCCTGAAAGAGTCCTGGCTATTACAGTGCTAGACAGCTGAGCCCTGAACGCTAGCTAAATGCTGTGAAGATCAACCCATTCAGCTTCCAGAGAAAACAGAAAACCCTAAGGACCTAAACAGGAGAACAGCCTGATGAAGGGGTCTCCAGCCCCAACGCGAAGCAAGGAGGACCCACCGTAGGTTGAGGTACTGCAGGCACTTCATGCTGCTACTGAATCCATCCAGGGCTTCGAGCTGGTTGTCCCGCAGGTGCAGGGTTGTCAGCTGCTCCAGCGCCTCCAGGCCCTCAAGGCTCCTGAGGGCGTTCTGGGCCTCAGCAGGGAGACAGGAAGAAAGCAGGAAAAAGAGGGCCACACAGGAGAGGGAACAGCAGTTATTTCTGGCCTGTCAAGCTCTTTCTAGCCTTCAGGCTCCCTACCACTCTATACCACCCATACCACCACTTGGTGACTGAGACAAAAAACACCCCAGATGAGACATTTTTTTCCCAACACAGCCTCTATTTATGCTGGTAGAGATGTGCCATGATTCAGATTTACCAGGGCATGTAGCACTGAGTCACCTGCTCTACTGCCAGCACAGCACCCCCGTCCATGGCAGTGCCTAATCTGAGCCCCTACGGCCTCAGGGAGCAACTGCGTGGAAAGCAAGGACCTGAGCACAGCACAAGTGTATTTAAGGTGTGAATCAGCAGCCCCTCGCAGTCCCATAGTCCATGGAGTCTAGGGATCTTCCAGTGCCAGCTGCTTCTCTTGTGGGAGAAATCTCCTGCCAAGAAGTCTCCCCTTCTAATCCTCTAGAACGAGAGGCAGGCTGCACGATCCTGGCAGAGGATCTAGGGGCTGTTGGTTGATTTAAGTGTTTCTTACTATAATATTTATTAGCTGTCCAAAAGAACAGCTTCTTGCAACAAATCTGACAATTTTATGGCAGGAAGTATTTGTCTTCCCAGTTTAAAATTCCCCACCATTGACTTCATTCACTTCACTGTGCTCTGTGTTATGAGATAGGGAAACACAAAGTTCTTAATTTCAGCAATAGTTTCACAGCACATTTTTGGCTGGAAAAGACCACTAGAGGCCTCCTGCCCAGCCCCGGGCCAGCAGCAGTGCTAGCATCAAAGCTGGATCAGGATGCTCATGGTGTTGGGCAGCCAAATTTGGGAAATCCTTGGCAATTACATCATCCCCACTACATACTCCAGCCCAGAGCTGAGCAGACTTCACTTGCAACTGTGGCTTAGGGCTGTAGTCTCTAAGGATGCAGATACGGGAACAGGAGATGGAGAGAGGTACCACCTGTCTTGGGAGAGTTCATTTTCTCCATAGTGGCTGGAATGGTGCCATGTTTAGGATGTAGGAGGAAAATAATGTTGATAACACACTGATGTTTTAGTTGTTGCTGAGCAGTGCTTGCAGAGTCAAGGACTTTTTAACGTCTCCTACTGCCCTGCTAATGAGGAGCTTGGGGTGCACAAGAAGCAGGAACACAACCAGGATAGTTGACCCAAACTGGACAAGGGGATATTCCATACCAGGTGATCCCTTCCCTTCCCTTCCCTTCCCTTCCCTTCCCTTCCCTTCCCTTCCCTTCCCTTCCCTTCCTTCCTTCCCTTCCCTTCCCTTCCCTTCCCTTCCCTTCCCTTCCCTTCCCTTCCCTTCCCTTCCCTTCCTTCCCTTCCCTTCCCTTCCCTTCCCTTCCCTTCCCTTCCCTTCCCTTCCCTTCCCTCTTTATCTCAGCCCACAAGTTTAAATGTTTTTCTCACAATTTTCTCTCCCAGTCCTACAGAGAGGGGGAGTGAGTGAACAGCTGTGTGGTGCTTATCTGCCTGCTGGGCTAAACCACAACAGTGGCACTGTGCTCTGTGCCTTTCTCACACCCAGGCAGTGCTATGGTCATGTGCCCACGTTTAATCAAAGCGGCACAGTCTGAACTGGTGGGATGGGAGAACAGTGCGGGACAGGGTCACTTTGGGAAACGACATTTTGCAGAAAAGGAGGACTTCAGTGGAAATTGGACAAGGGAGACTCTGGACCTGCTGGGCCAAGTAAAGAGGATAATTTGATGCGAGAAGGAGGGAAGACTGAAATTTAGTGAAGGTAGTGTGAACAAATTAAAAAAGCCAGGGTGGATTTGTAAATTTCACTTCAGAGGAAATCAGGAGTGTGTGTGGGAATTGGTGTGGGGACCTCACAGACCACTGGGCTGTGAAATGAATAGCAACCTGCTATCACTCTCGCTTCCTCCGTTACACCAGTGTGAATAGTTTCAAAGGCTCTGTCCCTGCAAGCACTAACAGGACAATGAAGAAGGGATTTTTCCCCTTTTTTTTTCCTTAAATCAAAGAACATTTCAAACGACACCTTTAATTAAATGATCACGTCATCACCTCGCCTAATATACCAGTTCCTCGCATGGATGTGACGCCACCATTTCATAGGGAAAGCTATTATAAAATGTTGCCCATGGCTCCCTCTCCATTTCTTGCGTACCCTGACCTTGCTGTAGCTAATCTTTGCCACCGCTGCTGGACAATGAAGAGGAAGCAACACAGCCCTGCTGACAGCAGTGATCTGGAAGCTGATGCAGTTTGAAGCACCACACTTCAGCTCCTGGTTTTCCAGCTAGTGCTGTGACTTTGTGAATTCCAAGTTTCATTGGTAACTGCGTCATACATTAACCAAATTTGATTTAGTTCCTTTAAATTGACCTTTGAATTCCTAACGGATGGATGCCTTGAACCCTGTCCTTGCGGCATCAGCTTCAGCTACCTATGGCCCTAGTAATACCAAAATCTTTACACAGGAAGCAAAGCAGTACTGGAAGAGATCCCCCTCCAAAACAGTTTGGCAAGCAGGTGGACATGAGAGACAAATTCAGGCCCACAGGACTCCTGAGACATTAATCAGTTGTTCTAGTTTTGATACTCATGTCTTACAGTTTGCCTGCCCCAGATGTGTAGCTCAGGAATTCCTCAGCCATCTCAGGAAATTTCTGTAAATATAGATGCTGCTTTTGCTTCCCTCCAATCACCCACTAAAGTGACTGTTTTTACTTAGAAATTACATATTGTATCTAGTGACTTATCCACTTCCTCCCTTCTTCCAGCACCTGTAGCCCTAAGATCTAGTTTTTCACCGGAAAATGGAAGGCAATCTCAGCAAGCAATCTCCTCAGTGCTTTCTGTCAGGGAGTATTGACGAAATGAAACCCTGTAGTTTTTGAAAACCTTTATCATCTTTAATTGCTTTTTCAGAGGTAATGACTCAGGACACCAATCTAGTCTTTGCAAGTTGTAGTACTGTGTGATATATGGGAGTAAGCTAACATACTTGCTTCACTTGTGTCTCTAGGAGTGAATGTTCCCTGAGGCAATTGTTTATGATATAAGGAAATTGCTTCTTCTATCTTAGTTTCACTGTGATGTTTAATCGGTTTCTTTTCTGGCAGCTGAAGAGATATATGAATCATATCACTGTGCTGTTGTTAAACTCATATTTGATTAGGCCCATCAGAGAGAAGAAAGAGGCATCACCTCCCCCCTGTGCCACCTGGAGCACACCACTGACCTCTGAGGTCCTGCAGCACATGGAGTGTGACCTTGCCTAACACTGCCAAGAAGAGAAAACTGCTGTCCCTTAGGCGGCTGGGAAGGAAGAACGCAATGCACTGCACATTGCCAACTTCCCTGCTCTCTGCAGAGCAATTAGTGGTCAGCTGCTACTTCTTTTGCACTGTTTGAGCAGACATAATAGAAGGATCTACCCAAAAGGAGAGAGATTTGTTTCTGCAGCTCTCTGAAATCTGTTCCTCTCATGCTGTGAAGACTGAACCGAATGGGCTAGCATGTAAATGATGCTGCTTTGAAGGGGACAGTGTCTCCCCTCCTCCCACTGCCTGAAGATGCCAGGCTTTGCGGCATCTCACTCCCGTTTCCCAAGCTGGCTGCTCCCTTACCAGATAGAGGCTCTTGAGCTTGGGCAGATTGAGCCCTGCAGTGCTCTCTAGCATGTTTCCTCGCAGCTCCAGGTTATGCAGGCTGAACAGTGCTTGACTCAGGCCCAGCGCTGTCCGGATTTTATTTCCTGAGTGCAGAGGAGGAAGAAACAATGAGAGAGAGTTAATCCCACTCAAAGCGAGCTTCCTATGTGCACAAGAGCAAAGAGAGGTGGTCTGTATCACCTTTAAGGCTGAGGTTGGCTAAGCAGGGGTGAGTAATGCCTTCCATATCCTTGATGTGGTTGTGAGCAAAGCTGATGATCTGGAGGTAAGGCAGCTCCTGCATGCGGGCACTGGTAAGCAGATTCCCATCCACCTTCAGCCAAAGCAGGTGGGTTAGGCTGCTCAGTGGAGACAAATCTTGCAGCTTGTTCTCTGACAAGTCCACGTAGCGCAGGTGAATGAAGCATTCGAGGAGGCTGATGTCTGTCAAGTCCCTATGGGAGAGAGGATGTGAAGAAAACACCTCTCATATCCCCCCCCCCCTGCTGCCAGCTCCTCACCACGCTGGGAAGGAGGGCTTCCTCCTCTCCCACTTCCCTGCTGTCCTAGGAAGCCTTGCGTGAAGGAGGAAAAAGGCAAGTGATAGGGACAGGCCAGATATGCTGTAAACAAGGCTGAATGCCAGGGAGTGGACCTGTGTTCCTGGCATAGGGAGTACTTCTTCCCATTGAACTGTAGCTGTCAGGAGAGGGAAGAACCAGAGCAGAAAAGAGGATAAGCCTGGGGGGTGGGTCTGTTAGACAGCAGTGGCAACACCGAGGACTGCGAGTAAGGACTTTCCTAGTGGGAAAAAGCCAGTCTAGTCACCTATAGGGCTGGTCTTTCTGAGGTCTGTTAGCTCTAGGATTATTTGGATGGGGCTGAGGCTCCACACCGCCCCAAAGCCACCATGGCACCGTACTTACAAGTGCATATTTTAAAGTTTAGCAGTTATCTGGAGCGGGTATTTCTTAAAGTGTCTGTGAGAGGGTGCCCTGCTCAGGTGCCCATAGAGACCACAGTGTAGGGCAAGGGATGGGCTCCTCTCACACTGTGGGGACACAGACACCAGTGTGTCTGGCTGTGGTGGAGGTTTGGGGCAGAAGGTGGAACAAGCACAGACTGCGTGGCGAACATGTCCTGGATGCTCCCGCTGCTGGAGGCCAGCCACCGGTGGCCAGTGGCTGCGGGGAGGAGGCCTCCTCCTCCTGCGGTGCGTTGGGCACTCACTTGTACTTGGCCTCAAACTTGACGTAGGCGTGCGCCAGGCCATTGCCGGTTTTGCAGAGGAGGGAGAGGCCCTCCTGCAGCATCTCCTCGGTCAGGGGGCACGGGACCAGCGCCTGGCGGACAGAGCACCAGTAAATGGCGGAGGCGAGGCGAGGCCAGCTGCCCCCCGCCAGCTCCAGCACGGGGCCTGCCTCACCTGCTTTTCCTCCTCCTGCTCCGACAGCGCCTCCTCCTCCTCCTCCTCCTCCTCCTTCTCCTTCTCCTCCTCCTCCTCCTCCTGGCGGAGGTGCTCCTCCTCGCCCAGCTCCTCCTCCTCCATCTTTACGCCCCGCTTTCTTCACGGACCCCCGGCCTTGAGCTGCGGCCGCTGCGCTGCCATGGGAGCCGGGGCGGGCCCCGCGCCTCCGCCATAGCAACCGCGCTGACCGACAGCGCCGGGCCTCGGCCCCGATTTTCCCACATTTTCCCGTATTTTCCACACAATCCCAGCGAGTGCATGCTGGAATCAGTGCCCTGCTTCCCGCGTAGCGCTGCCGTTCCCCGCTGGGCGATGCGAGCTGCCCGTGGCTTCTTTCCTCGCCGCCCTTCTGCTAACAGCCCTCCCGCCTGATTGCCGTGGCTCGCCGCCCTCACTGCAGCGCCCTGTCATTTTTAGTAGTAAATCCTGTCTGGAAAGCTCAGGGCACGCCTCAGGCTTCTCCGGAAACACTTTGAGAGCCCCCTCTACACTCCCCAGTGCTCCCAGCCCTTCCTAGCTCAGTGACATCCACAGCTCACAAGAGTGCACACAGAGAGTCAAAGGATAATTTTGGTGGGAAGGGACCACCGGAGGCCACTCGTCCAGCCCCGGAGTTGTGGTGTGTGATGCTCACCCCCTGGGCCGGGGAGCGAGTGCTGGCCGATGGTGCACAGCACCCCCAGAGCCAGGAGCTCTGCTCGCAGCTGATGGCTGCCCGTGTTTTGCAGCGAGTGCCAAAGTCCAAGGCCCTACCCCCTTCCTGCACTTTGTTCCCTCACAGACTCTGGGTAAAGTCCCTGCAGGGTCAGTGCCACGCTGGCTCTGCTGCTCAGCGTGTGCTGCTCGTGTGGTCAACACATGACTGCCAGGCATGAGAGCCCCAGCTCCTGCAGCTCATGCATCAGCTGCTGTTCCTGCTGCAGAGCACTCCTCCGTGCTCAGGACCATGAGCAAGCCACCACCAGTGTCCCCTGCCTCATCCCTTGACACCCCAGTGCCGATCTCTTACTCCACCTGCATTAACCCACACATTATTATTATTATTTTTTACCATTCTATCTCCTGCAAAAACAACCCACCATACTGAAAGCTTTCTGGCTGTTGCTTTTGTTTTCCAGGAGCTTTAGGGAGCCCTTCAGTGAATCCTTAGAGTCAGTGCAGGAAGAAAAGCAACGACATGCTTTTCTTCCCATTCCTCTCTCCTTTATGTTGAAGAATGGACTGGAAGAAGTAATGCGTGTCTGTATGCATGTTTTACGTGAGTCTTACAATAGCAACATATGGTTGAGTTGTTTTGTTTCCAGATGACCAAAGACCTTTTTTAGACAGGACAAATTATACAGGGAAATTGAAATCTTCAAAAGAGAATTTTTATTCAGGGTATACAAAATAAATAAATAAAACAAAACCCCAAACTATACTGATCAGTAAGGAGGCAACTGTTAGGTTAAGTGGTAAAAACTCCTCTGCACACTCAGAAAGGAGCACAGAGAGACAACAGCAGGAGGGGGAGGCAGAACGGTACCTGGCTATTTGTAGGTGTTGTCCCAGGGAAAGCCCCAGGTCCATGTGTGGGTGCCTACCTATGGATGTGTTCGCTAGTGGCCCCCTGTCCTGTTCAGCCAGAGGGGCATGGGACAAGGCCGCCAGTACTGCCTGGGTTCATGCGAGTGCTCTGAGTTACCTGTGTGGCCATCCATGTGCATATACCCATATGTGATGTACAGGTGTGTTTGTGCTTGTGCCTACTGGGAATGAGTGCTCAGCCTGGCCCCTGGTTGGAGCTGGGGCTGTCACATATGGCACAGTACGCCTTCCCCCTAGCAGCATCACATTTAAGATCCAGCTCCTACAATTCTCAGTCAGGGTGAGGATCTGGCAGCGTTTCCACTCGGCAAAGCTGTGGTCCTTCCTGCCAGAAAGCGTGCAAAAAGAAGAAAGCCGAGGTTGCTGCTGATGCAGAGATTATTGTCCACGACTCTACTCCTCATTAAATGTTTTTGTGTGCGTGTATTCCCCTGAAAACAGCGAGAGCGCTGCTCCACTCCCATCTGTTTTGTCTATGTAGGTCACTTTCCTGGGTTCTCGCCGAGCTGCTCTTCAGGCAGGGCTGGGCAGCAGCAGAGCTGACAGCGGAGCCGCAGCCTGAGGCTCGTCCTGCGAGTGCCCCGGCACGCCGGCTGCTGGCAGCCTGCAGGCACAGTCCCTGTCCCTGCAAGTCCCCAAATGCTCTAATTGTGGCAGGGCCAGATTGAGGCCGTGCCCCAACAGCCGCTCAGAAGCGCTTTGTTTGCAGAAGCCACAGAGATTTCAAAGGGAAAAAAAAAATAATCTTGAAACGTCCTCTTCTGCACGCCCCTCCGGGCACATAGAGCACGTAGCAGCCGTCTCCGTGCTGCTGTCACTGCCTTCATCCTCAGCCTGCTGCTCCCATCACTGCAGGGGGGGTGTCCCGGACAGAGGCCGGGCACCGGGGGGCGCTCCGGGACCGGCCCCATCCCTCCCTGGAGCCGCTGCTGGGGCTGCAGCATGGCAGAGCTCCTCGGATCCTCCTCCTCCATCCCTCACCTGCTCAGGCTCGGACCACCCTCACCCCCTGCTTTATTGGAGGCTCCAACAGCCGGAGTGCGAGGGGAGGAAGGTGCCAGGAGCACAAGTACCGCAGAACGGACAGCGTGGGGTGGGAGAGGATCCCTCAGGCACGCATTAACTGAGTCCCCCTTCTGCATGCCTGCTGTGTAGCAGCGCGCTGCCCACACACCCAGTGATGCGCCGCCTCGGTTAAGCTCCTCCTTGCCAGGCACTTCCATTTTCATTGCCCTTTGCGCTACCTAAAAGCTCCCAGCTCTGGTCTGGCTTTCCTTTCCTATCCCCCACCACGTGGCTGTAAGCGAAGTCTCAGCACACAGCCTGAAAATCTCCTGTGCGAAGAGGGAGCTCACTTAATGGGCAGCAAAATCAACCACCAGTTCTCACAGGCAAGGAGGGTCAAAATCAGCCCTTCACCAGGCCTGCCTGGAAAGACCAGCTCACCGGTAGGACAGGCAGGTGCTCCAGCACCTGCTGGAATAGGTGCACACAGAGCACCATGGAGCCAGAAGAAAGCTGCAATGGGAAAGATGAAAGGTGCTTTGGGGCGTGCCCTAAGCAAGCACTGCAATGGCAAAGTACAGGTTGAAGCTGTGCAATGCCTATTGGAGTAATTTAGCAAACAAAAGAAACCCCAAACCACCAGCCACAGAAACCCACAAACAAGACCAAAAACCCAAACCCTGTTACTCTCTTGCAGCCAGGAGTGAGAGCTCACCAGGAGCAAGTATGCCAGTTCTGGACACACCTTGTCCTTAATCACTCCTGAATAAGATCCAAGACACACCACTTTTTTTAATTTCCCTTTCATTTATTGTTCAGTACAGGACATCGGTGAGGTAAGGTGTCTCACAAAGGTCTAAGCTACCAGGCCCCTTGCTGATGGGCCTGCAGGATGCAGCACATGGTGGTTCCTTCCTCCTCCCCCAGTACTAACGGCCATCTCTACCCGTAGCACTGCGTTCAAAGGGGGAGGCAATGGCCAAGTTGACTGTGGGCTCAAACAGCTCAACAGAAAACCGAGGATTTTGCCAATTCAGAGACTGAGACAAGCTGACACTGACAGGACTCCAACAGGGTGGTGGGGGTTAGCAGCACAGCTAGAACAATGACCGTGGTTGGGGGGGAAGCCTCAGAAGAGGCCTCTGTACTTAGACATGTGCAATGAAAGGTCCCTTCGTGCTTCTGTTTCTTGCTTTGAACCGTTAAGGGACTGCTCCTCGTTGGAGCTTCAGTGTTTGGCGTTGATAATATCCACAAACTCTGGCTTGAGGGAAGCTCCGCCGACAAGAAAGCCATCCACGTCATGCTGAGAGGCCAGCTCCTTACAGTTGCTGCCAGTGACTGAACCTAAGGAGGGAACAGGATTAAGAGATGAGCAGAGAATGGTATTTTTAACAGATGTAGACAGCCTGAAGCACCACCAGTTAGTGCCTCATGCTCTGCCAACCTCCTATTTCCTCATTAGCAGAGCAGTGCTGTACAGCTGCAGCAATAAGCAGAGATCTAAGTGCTTCCTGCACTGGGAAGGGGCTTCAGACTCCTTTACCTCCATAGATGATCCTAGTTGATTGAGCAACAGCATCAGATACGTGGCTTTTGAGCCATCCCCTCAGCTTCTCATGAACTTCCTGGGCCTGCAATGGAACAGAAGGAGTCCCACTGAGGACTGGGCCATCCTGTGTACAGCTCCCTTCCAAAGAAGGAACTGTCTTGTTCCATCATCTGGCAGGACCTCTGGAACAGGAAGGGTCAGCCAGCCATCCTGTCAGCCACCCTTCCCTTGCGCATACCTGCTGGGGGGTTGCAGTTTTACCAGTTCCAATAGCCCAAACTGGCTCGTAGGCAAGAACCACTTTACTCCAGTCTTTCACGTTATCTGGGGAGAAAGGAGAAGGTGTAAGCAAGCACAGTACTTCACGCTGGGAAGGGTAGACCTGGAAAGCTTTCTGGAACATGCAGACCTTTTATTAACATGACCATTACTGTGTGAACACTCACAGCAACAGATCTGCAAGCCTTCCAGAAAGGCCAGGAACAGGCCGTTAAGGCCGTAGCAGCCATTTCCCACATGTCTTAAGGGTAAAAAGTCCATTTTCTTCCCTTACCAGCAATAGCCTTGGTCTGTTCAAAAACCACTTTCTCTGTTATGCCAGCTTCTCTCTCATCCAGCTTCTCTCCAATGCAGGCAATGACACCAAGGCCCTCAGCTAGAGCATGAGCCACCTTCTGCCCAATCAGCTGGGAATGGAAGAGAAAAAGGCAAGTGACAGTCACACCTATTCGTGCTCCTGTCTTTCCCACAAACTGCTCATCCCTCCAGCCTTCACAGACCTATCTGATCTGTACCATCTCTCCATCCCACGGCCTCTCACCTCATCACTCTCTCCAAAAACATGCCTTCGCTCTGAGTGGCCCAGGATCACCCATGCAGCTCCAATATCTTTGATCATTGCTGGGCTGAGGAGAAAGGAGGTGAGAGTATTAATTCACATCTGGAGGCACCAAACTTTGCAGAGCCATGCTGGCCTTGCACTTCTCTTTGGGCTCACCTAATCTCTCCTGTGAAAGCACCCTTTGGCACCTTGTAGCAGTTCTGTGCTGCAACTCCAATCTTTGCATCAAGCTTCTGACGGGCAAAGTCAAGGTAGATTGAAGGAGCTCCACAAACCACCTCTGGAAGGCAGAGAAAAAGGCCACTTTCAGGAAGAGCCAGGGGCAGAAACTGCACCCAACCCTGAGCCTGATGACTTAAGAGGTCATCATTTCCTTCCCTACACTCTGCCAGGAAGGCTCAGCATGCATGACATTTGGGGGACCTGCTGCAGCATCAGAAAGCAGGAATATCCCTGCTATCTGATGCCTCGACAGCAAGGAGGAAACCCTTTCCAGCAGCCAGATAGGTGAGACCGTGCAGAGAGGCAGGCCCCTCAGCCGGTTCACGCAGGGTCCCTTGGAAACGGCCCAACCAAGAAACCGGGCAGGAATCCTGCCCTGCTGCAGAGGCTATGCTGAACCGGGGGGGAAAAGGGCAGCATCGGGTTACACCTGGGATTATAACAGCACGCTCTGGGGGGGGGCACAGCCTGAGCGACCCCAGCTGCAATGCTGCACTCTGCGCCCCTCAGCGGGGCAGGGGGGCTGCAGGGGGCCTCCTGGAGCGATAAAGGAGGGCAAAGGGGTGCGGATGGGGGCAGGGCCTGGCGGGGCCGCCTCAGCGCCCTGAGGGAGCCCCGGGGCAGGAGGCCCCAGCTCCAGCCCCACGGGGCCCGGCTCCCCCCTGCTGCCCACGCTACCGGAGGAGGCGGCCGGGATCCGGTGTCGCGGTATTTTTAGCGCGGCCGCATTTATTTATATTTATCCTTATATTTAGGGCCCCCCCCCCACCCCCCGCTCCCCGCTCCCTCACGGCCGCCCTCTGACATTTCCGCGCGGGACGTGCGCGACGTGCGGCCGCGCCCTCACCCGTGTCGGCCGAGAGCTTGGCGCCGTTCAGCGTGTGGATCAGCTCGCCCAGGCTCTTCTTGTCGCCGTTCATCTTCCAGTTGCCCCCCACGAAGAACTTTCCTGGGCGCCATGGCGGGGGCGGTGAGGAGGAGCAGGGAGGTGGCAGCGAGCAGCGCGTCCCGGGCGCAGCCGAAGGTCAGTGGCGGCTCCCGGCCCGCGGCCGCCCCTTTTATAGCCCGGCGGCGGCCGAGGCCACGCCCCCTCCCCGAGGCCACGCCCCCCGCGCTGAGGCGAGGCGGGCGGCGCGCGCAGCGGCCGTTAGTGGCGGTGGTGGTGGGGGAGGGGCGGGGAGCCCCTCAGCGCCCCCTCAGGCCGGCGGCCCCCGTCCCCGCAGCCCCCACAGAGCGAGGCGGCGAGCAGCCGGGGCTGATTTCGGCTTTTTTTTATTTCGTCCCTCGTGTATTTTGGCAATCCGCGGGGCCCCCCCGGTGCCTCCCGCGCCGCTCGGGGTACAAGCCGCACGCACACGCAGCCCCCCCCCCGTTTTTCCCCCCTTCAGGCCATGGCGGCGTGTGGCACAGGGCGGGGGCACCGAGGGCATCTCCTACAGAAACTGATTATTTTCTCCCTCCCCCCTCCCTCCCCACCCCCTTCACTCACGTCCCCAACCAAAGGGGCTCCGGCCCCCCCAGTTTCCTTCCACCTTGGTCTCCACGGGGAGAGCGTGAAGGGAGGAGCGGGGTAAGAGGAGACGGACCCTGCTCTGATCCTCGCCGCCCCCGCCGCTGCCCCCCTCTGCCTTCAGCCCGCTTTCCCCCTCTCCGCAGGCAGCAGGAGGCCGTCCTAGCTGGGGATCCGCTGGTAGAAGTAGATGTAGCCCAGGTCCTTGGGGGGCTTCTCAGAAGCACAGACTTTCTGGTCGTTGTAGATCACCCACCTGCAACAGGCAGAAGGGGGAGAGCTCAGGGACGCTGCTGCGTGGCAAGGGTGCGAGTCCCTGCTTCCTTCCCCCAAAATGTCTGAGGAAACAGCACAGGACAATGATTTAAATAAAGCTTTTCCCTTATGTTGTCAAAATCCCTCTTACCTGCCATCTTTCTTGATGTGACAAACGTAGTGGCCGCACATAGTTGAAGTGCCCATGTGGCTGATGAAGGCAAACAGCTGATATTCTTGACAGGAAGAGGGGAAAGAGGAGTTATCAGAGAAAGAGGAAAGGCTTCGCACCCCCAGCAACCCTCCCTCTAGGGAATTCCTGATGTGTGAGACCTGAAGGGTCTTAAAAATGGGACCCTGTCAAGTGTGACTGTGAGAGCTTGGTCTCAAGGCCAAACATGACAGTTAACAGGAGATGGCAATTCCCATTCAGCCTTCTCTCTCTCAAGTGTTCACTTGGCTCAGGTCTGTGAGATGGGTAATGGTGAGGATTCCACCTCCCTACAGTGTCCAGCTGCCATGCAACACTGGGATCAGTTCTGCAAATGGACTGGAGCTTGCTTTTACAATAGAAGCCTGAGGATCAGAAAGGCCTCCAGACAAGACGGGGAGAAAGAAGCACAATCTTTCACTAGATGTCTCTTCCGTTGCCTCTCTCTCACAGCTTCCAGTAATGCCCAGCCAGAAAGGTTAGGCCCTATATTTGCCATCCTTCTATTCCTCCCAGCTCCCACCACCCAAGTAACCAGCTCAGTCTGTGGGAGCTGCTGCTGCTAAAACCTATGGGTTTACTGCATTAATTAGGGAGGATAAAGGCCATGCTGAGTTTGCATCCCAAAATCGACGTTCCCACTGCTTGGAACTCACTTCCAGGCCCATCGCGCACTTTAGGACCAACAGGGACAGACTCGGAGATGGAGTCTGCTGCCGAGCGCCCCTCTGAGATATCCATAGCAGCTTCCGCGTCGAGGTCATCAATGTGACTAAAGATCCAATCCACGGCACGCTCCAGGCTGTTGTTCTGGAAGGCAAAGGCAAAGATTATGAGCTTGCAGATCCTGAGGGCACCATTTCACTCTGATGCCACCCCTGACTCTCACCGTTGCCCTAAGCGCTTTCATGGCCTGGTCCCGGGAGAAGCCCATGGAGACGATGGTGGCCACGCTGTCTTCTGAAGGAGGGTCTGGGCAAGCAATAGTTGACCCTGGTCCGCTGGATCCCGGGAGAACTAATGGGTTGGCAAAGTCTGCAGCGGAAAACAGAACACAGAGCCGTTAGACGCCTCCAAAAGGGAGGCAGCCTGAGGTTCAGACCGCTTTAGATTTCCACTGCTGAAGTGGGTCAGGAAGTGCAAGGACCCAGATGCCATAAGCTTTGTCATGGCCGCGTGGTCTCCTACCTGGATCATCCATGTGGGACATGACCCAGTTCATGGCAGCCTCGACCCCGCTGTTCCCCGTGTAGTACACAGCCTTGCGGCAGGCGTCCATGGGAAAGCCCATCTCCACTAGCTGGATGATCACCGACTCATCCAGCATGGGGGCTGTGGGAAGACAGAGGTTACAGACACCCTCTCCCACCCAAGTCCTGCCTGCTCCGTTCTGTGCAGTCCCACACGGTCCCCCAAGCCATCATTTCCTGGCTTTGTTTCACGCAAGTTCTGGCTCTGGCGTCCTCATCCTTTACAAACTTTCTTCTTCAAAAGTGCAGTCTCACTAGCAGGTACTCAGGGGGATTTACTGCATGAACTCAGCAGCACTGGCTCTCCCTAGCCTTCAAGCCCTACCCTCTGCCAATTAAACCTTGTATAAACCCCAGCTCTGCCCCCTCTAAATGCACCAGACGTGCCACATCCCCGTCTTCCACGGTACAGGAATCGACAGACTCCCTTGCATAACAGGCATGCAGGGGAGGCAGCCGGCATTCACTGACAGAGGGACAGGGAAAGTCTGAGCAAGTGGAAACCGCGAGGATTGGAGACAAGACAGGGAGAGCAAGGAAACGAGTCAGGCATCAGGAAAAGAGGAGGAGAATCACTAACATGTCGGAGAGGAGAAGTGAGGGGAGCAGAAGGAGTCGTCGTCCTCGTTGCCATAGAACCCCAGGCTACCTTTGGGCTCGTCTGGTGTCACCAGCGGGGGCGCGATGTCTGGCATTTCTTCTTCTCCATCTTGCAGCCCCGTTCCCTGCAGCGCAGAGATATCCAGCTCCTCGGGCATTTCAATGGAGACATCTGCAAGACACGGCGCTGCTCAGCCTGCCGTAAGGCCACAAACAAAAGACCCCGTTGGGAGATCTAGAAGGGTAAGTCTGCCCTACTGGGGATACAGCATGCCAGCCTGCAGCTCCTTTTGGGGTAGTTTCTTTCCTTTCTGCAGTCCCAACCACAATACCCACACAGGACACCCAATACCTTATATGCTCTGTACTTCTTGTCCTTCTTACCAAGCTTTTTGGGCACCCAATCCAGACCAAAAGTGAATTTCTTGATCTGGATCACCAAATAATCTGGGAAAGAGGCGAACCGCGTTGTTCTGAAAGAGATTAACATCACAGCTAGTTTTTATGCTTTGTCAGCACTGATTGAGGACATCTAGTTGGTTCAAGAAATCAGTCAGTGGGGTGGAGGGATGCCCTAAGGCAGAGAGAAACAAAACCGTGCAGCTCTCCTATGCTGAGCTTACAGCTCCTCAAACACAAAGCAACTTCTAAAGCAGATGCTCCGACCAAACGAGATGGAATGCAGCATTTACAAAATCTTGGGGGATAAGGAAAATAATAGCATGTTCTCTGTCTCTCAGTCCTGCATTTTACCAGCTTCCTCAGATTTCAGTATTAATTAAAATAATTCAAGTCTAATCCTTAAGGAACGCGGTGGAAATAACATCTTTTATTAGACCGACAGGTAATGCTGCAAAAAGGGACAACCTTTCAAGTGCAAGAGCACTTCTTCAGATACGAAGTGGAAGCAGCAAATTTTAAGCTAACAATGACTGAATTTGATTGAATGCTTAGTTAGACAATTTGAGGGAAAGGGTGTTTGGCATCTCTGAAACAGAGGGGAATGTTTGTGAAGGGAGAAACAATAGTAAGAGAAACAGATACTTATTATCAGGGAACCATTGTAACATTGTAAAATTAACTCAAGCCATGGTAGTTGTAAGAATGTAATTCTTACAAAGTGCATGAACACAATTCTCTATTTAAAAGCAAAACAATGGTATTTTTCAAAGTGATCGTTTTACTGACTGTTCATTTTCAGTAGCTATTGCTTAATAGCATTATGTTTGTTGTAAAAACACATTCCATCGTATGGATTTACTGGATTCTTTGAGGACTGCTCTTTCATTGCGGAGGAACAGTCAGTAGCATCGCAGAAGGAAGCTGCTGAAGTCTGTAAAGTTAGACTTTTGCACTGCTGCACGTGCTGCTGACAGCAAGACAAATCAAAGCTATGTTTTAAGCCCTGCTATTAGCATTTAAGTTAGCATCCTTTAAATAACTCAGGTGTCCGTTATACCCAGTGTTTTGCTCAAACTTTACCAGCTAAAAACTTCCCTTACAGAGAGTTGGAGACCATGCAGGGCTGGTGCTGCCACACCCTGTACTGATTTTAAAGCTAAATTCTGGATTTAGAATAAAAGCTGCCAGTTTTCTGGAATATCAGTGTGTTTTTGTAGCCTCTCAGGAACTGAAATCTGCTGGTCAGCATTTCACTAGCACGGCTGTTGTGCCCGCTGTAATCCTTCCAGGGCAAACACTCCAGCACTGCTGAACTGGTTCGCTTCTGTTTCAGTGCTCTACGGATACAGGGCTTGGAGGACTGCAACGTTTTGGTAATGCTCCTTCCCCAAACAATACAAGGGAGATCCCGAGGATGTCATAGCCTAGCTAGCTGTACACACACATACACACACACTCACTTGAGAGCCACAGACTTGGCCTGCAAGGCTGTGCTCCAGAAATCATCCACCTGCTCTGGAGCTCCATAGGCCTCTAGGCAGGAGCTGAAAGGCACCTTGGCTCGCACCAGCTCAGGCAGTGGCTGCTTCTCCTCCTCTGCCTGCCGCTTCTTCTCCTCGTATTCCAGCAGTTCATCTAGAGAATAAGGCACGGGAGTCAAGGACCACCTCTAGGTACTAACAAAATAACTGGTGTAAGCTACACCCGGAGGCAGAAGAGGCCTACAAACACGTCCTAAAGAACGCAGCACAAAGTTGGCTGCTTCTAGCGAGCACTGTTCTGCTACTTTGCTGTTAAATCATAGCCCAGCT